CAGACTTAGTCTAAAAATGTATACTTCTGTAAAAACAATCCACGTTCAAAGTTAAGACCAAGAGATCAAAGTTGGTATGGGTTAATTGACTCAGTGATGCAGAAGACTGCTTTTGAGTAGTAGTCAGTTGCCAAATTTCTTCAGCTAGAAATGTGGGATTTATATTTGTATTTATATATTGAAACATTGACTTCAACATACAAAATGGTCCGTGTTTTCTCCTTGGTAGGTGGTAGTGGAAACTTCCACAATTGAAGAGTCATCCAACGTGACTTTGCCTCTTATCATCGTTATGCTTTTTACTCTATAAATTATTAAGTTGTATTGCCTGCAAAACCAACTCATACAAACTGTGTTTTCTTTTTCAATATCTTTGTCTTTATTTTCCAAATGGTGAAACCGTGTTTCCTCTGTTGTGTCTTCGTCTCTAGCTTCTTTCTCAACACTCTTGTTTCTCTTCCAGATCCTCGTCCAGACCAAATTGAGATCCTTCTGGCTTTTAAGAACGAGTTTCCAGCCCTCAAATGTGACTTCTATAAGTTCCCTTCCTCACAACAAAAAACAAACTCTTGGACCAGCAAAGACGTTACGTCCTTTGATGGAGTTGAGTTTGATAACGAGACTGGTGTAGTGACAGAACTACACCTAAGTAGTGCATGTCTCAGTGGTACTCTCAGTGCTAATAGTAGCCTTTTCAGATTCCACCACCTCAGGTACCTCGATATCTCTGTCAACTACTTTGACTCGTTTTCATTCCTCCCCGAACTTGGCAACCTCACAAACTTAGAGGTCTTGCATCTTTCTAATATGGGTTTAGTCGGTGAAATTCCATCCTCATTCAGTAACCTAAATCGTTTAACGAACTTGGACCTTTCCGATAACAAGCTTATCGGTAGTTTTTCCCCTCTACTCAATCTATCAAAGCTCTCTTATTTATCTCTTTCCTATAATCTCTTCTCTGGAAGCATTCCTTGTTCTTTACTCACCATACCTTTCCTGTCATTTCTTGATTTGAGAAAAAATCATCTCACCGACTCCCTTGAAATTATGAATTTCTCTTCATCATCTAAGCTTGAAACTTTATATCTAAGCAATAACCGTCTCAGTGGTAGAATCCTAGAGTCTCTCTCAAAATTAACCAACCTCAAAGACCTCGACCTATCTTTTCAAAACACAACCTACCCAACCAACTTCATCTCCTTGGGCTTCAAATCTATAGAGTCCCTAGATCTTTCTAATATGGGCTTAGTTGGTGAAATTCCCTCCTCATTCAGTAGCCTAAACCGCTTAACGAACTTGGACCTTTCCGATAACAAGCTTATTGGTGGCTTTTTCCCTCTACTAAATTTATCAAACCTCTCTGTTTTAGATCTTTCTAATAATCTCTTCTCTGGAAATGTTCCTTGTTCTCTACTCACCATGCCTTTCCTTTTAAGTATTGATTTGAGCCAAAACCATCTCATCGACTCTCTTGAAACTATGAATTGCTCTTCATCATCTAAGCTTGAATATTTACGCCTTAGAAATAACCGTCTCAGTGGTAGAATCCTAGAGCCTCTCTCAAAATTAACCAACCTCGATTACCTCGACCTATCTTTTCAGAACACAACCTACCCAATCAACTTCGTCTCCTTGGGCTTCAAGTCTTTAACGACATTGTATCTTTCCGGAACTGCTATATCAAGGCTTGATACCGGATCACCAAATTTGAGCATTCTATACTTGGAAAACTGCAACATCAACAAGTTTCCCTCATTTATTAAAAACCTACAGAATCTTGGTCTTTTGGAGATGGCAAACAATAGACTCAAAGGAGAAGTGCCTAAATGGTTATGGAGTATGCCTTCTTTGGATACACTGTCACTGGCTGACAACAACCTCGACAGTTTTGAAGGCTCGCCAGAAATGCTTCTCAATTCATCGCTTAGATTGTTAGATCTGAGGTCAAACGCTTTTCGAGGAACTCTTCCTATTATTTCACCTAGATTGAAGTACATCCTTGCATCAAACAATAGTTTCACAGGAGATATACCTCTTTCATTATGCAACCAAAGCTACCCATGTGTCCTTGATCTATCTCACAACAACTTCAATGGTTCAATTCCCCAATGCTTGGTTAATTCATCGGTATATTATCTGGATCTCGGAAACAACAATCTCACCGGGAGACTACCCGAGATGGTGGACATAAGTGGCTCGCTGGAAACACTTGTCATTAGCCACAACCATATAACCGGGGGCCTTCCAAGGTCTCTTAAAAATTGCACATACCTAGAGTATTTAAACGTGGAGGGCAATGGAATTGCTGATACCTTTCCGTTTTGGCTGAAGGATCTACCGAATCTAAAAGTCATGGTCCTGCGATCAAACATGTTCCATGGTCATATCTATTCTCCTCAACATCCTCTATCATTTCAACAACTGCGGATTATTGACATATCACGTAACGAATTCACCGGAAGAATACCACAAGATTACTTTGTCAATTGGAGTACACCCTTGATCAGTACTTCTCAAGAGGAAATTAGAGAGCCTACGTACATGGGATACAATAACCGGTTTAGTTATTACCCATCCATGCATCTGAGTAACAAAGGAATAAATATGGAGCTGGAAAAGATTACTGTGACTTACACACACCGCCATTGATTTCTCTGAAAACAAATTTGGAGGACAGATTCCAGAATCTATAGGCCTTTTGAAATCACTTATTGTGCTCAACCTATCCAACAATGGTTTCATAGGTCATATTCCATCCTCTTGGTCTAATCTCACAAGACTGGAGTCACTAGATCTATCTCGTAACCAACTCACTGGAAAAATCCCGCAGGAGCTAGCAACCCTCTCGTTCTTGGCATACATTAATGTTTCACATAACAAACTCACAGGACAGATACCACAGGGTACACAGTTTGGAGGACAGTCTAAGTCATCTTTTGAAGGGAATCTCAATCTTTGTGGTTTTCCTCTTGAGAAGAGTTGCTTCAGGGACAAGGTACCATCCACACCAGAGGCACAAGAGCCAAAACATTCAAAGCAAGAAAAGGTGTTGAACTGGAAAGCAGCGGCACTGGGATATGGCCCTGGAGTCTTGTTTGGAGTGGCGATTGCACAAGTCATTTCTTTGTACCAACCGGTGTTGTTCTACAAGTTGTTCCGTCTTTGAAAATGAAGTTTTTCATTTGGTTTTGTTGAAATATGTGTCTTTTTAACCATTCCAGTATAGATATGTATGAAATAAAAGTGACTTGTAAGTCTTTTGCTCTCTTGGTTTTGTAGATCAAATTCTGATATTATTAAGTGAAATAATATCTTTGGTTGATAAAATATGTCATCACTTTGATCATGATTCTTGATCTCAGCAGCGAAAATTATATTTAGTTGGTCTGTATGACTGTATTACTTTGACTGAAACGATCTGAAACACTACAAATATTGTTTATGTAAAACAAAATAAGGTTGAACAAAAACTTTGGAGTACGCTACAATCAAGGCCGCTATACACCACCACAGGCTGTGTTGGTGATCAGTTCTGACTACTTGGTCAGTTGCTTGTTTGCTTCCTTGGTGGAATGTATCACTCTTTAATTTTTTAGGAAAACATGAAATATACGATAGAGAATTTTCTTTAATTACCAGACTAATTAAGAGAAGCTTAGTTATCCCAAATGTGCGAAACATATGAAACATAACGATCTCTTTTTTTTTTTTTTTTGATCAAAAACATAACGATCTCTAACAATCAAATCAATGACATGAAGCACATTCTATTTATTTGGACTCATCAGTTTTATAAACTCAATTTCAAGTTTTTTCGTTATCTTTGCTGGGCATACCCAAAAAAACTTTAAGTGATTATCAACACAAGAGTTTTTTCATGCGATTTTTTATATTAGGTGCCGATTTTTTTATTCCCCAGTCAACTCAGAGAAAATCCGCTTCACCGCCTAATCCGGACGATTACCTTCTTCTGGCCACGGTGGACTCCCGATGAGTGACTAGCCGACCAGAAACTCGCCTACTCAACCGCATTTTAGAACGCGGGTTATAAGTTGTTCAACCTTTGATCAAAAGAATGTACTTCAACCTAACTATAATAATAAGTTCCATCACCAAGCATATCAATTGTTTTTTTTTTTAATAATATCTCAAAAATAGATTTGATTTGAACTAAACCGGTAAACCCGGTTAAAAATCGCTAGAACTGGTTAGTCGGTTTGGTATTAAAATTCGGTTTTCACAAATTTAAGTTAAAATATAAATAAAAAATTACAAAAAGATTCATATTGGCTCTTTAACATCTATCTAAATAAGTTAGTTTCATTGTATTATTATATTATTTTAAAAGTTTTCATTTTGTTTTCATATCATTTTTAAATTCTAATAATGATAATGAATTTTTTAAATATAATTTTGTAGTTATACATATAATATAGCTATTCAATTTACAATAAGATTAAAATTTAAACCCGGCTTAACCGGTCCATCCTGTTTTTAAAACATTCCCTACACATTCGAATGGACTTGAATCTGACTTTGAACCAAATGCACATCAAATACGAGGTCCAGACGTTGTTGGGCTCTGATCTAAACCTTCACAGACTCTAATAGATAATCACATATGAAAAAGTCTGAACATCTTATAATGCTAATGAAAAAACGCGCAAACACAACTATACCAAGGTAGTTGTTCCAAATAAAAAAGGTAAGATAAGAGCAAGTCATATGACTAACAGTTTTATTAAAAGGTTTGATCTTGAATGACATATTATGACTGTTTAGGACTTTCACTGTTATGACTTTAAAATTAGGGAATTTGCATTGTATATACATAGAAACTTATGTAATTAATTAAACGTATATCATACAGTATAGTTTTTACTATTACCAAGATTACTCCTCTGACCCTACAATTCTAGTGTCATTAAACCACTAAGGCAATCGATACAATTGACGAATGGATGTCTCAGTAGAAAAGTGTTTTGAAAACGTAAACGTGTTCTTTCAAGGGTTTGCAAGAAACCAAAACATCAAATCATCTTCTCTTTTCTTTTTTTTTGTTATTATCTTTGTGGAAATAGATCTAGTTTTGCTTAACAAAATTGCAATGGTTGCCTCTCGAATTCGTGAGTATCTGAAGAGGAAGTTGATGAAACAGATGCGGGGCTGAAGGGGAAAAACCGGTGGGGGTGAGGGTTCTTATTTATCATCTTCCCCAGCGATGAATACAATCCTCAATGTGTTAAATGATGAAGAGATTACGTTTCGACAATCACCATTTGGTAAGCTTGTTGATATTTCTGAGAAACCTTCTTTTGTCTGGAAGATTTGCTAGATTCTTACTGTCTAGGCAATTGAAAGTTCGGAAAAAACATGAAGCGTGGTTTCGATATGCTGGGAAACCGATTTGTTTCTTATTACGTGAGTTTTCGATTGTAACCGGTCTTCTTTGTGGGGAATTGCCCAAGAAACTGGTTGTGAAGAAGAAAAAAGATATAAACCTGAGACCTTATTGGCCAAAACTATTTGATAACGTTGAAGATATGTTGGTAAGTAGAGCAGTGAAGATGTTATGGAAAAAGACAGTTGCAGACAGAGATACCCAGATGAAGCTCGCATATCTTGCAATTGTTTCTTCTGTCTTGCTATCAACACATCTGAAGATGAAGATGATGAAGGAGCATGCTGAGTTATTACGTGATATTGATGCTTTCTTCACATATCCATGGGGGTGAGTACCTTTTAATATGTTTATGTGTATCTTTAAGAAAAGGGATGAAATTTCATTATCTCAAAATACCATAGTGCTGAAAGGATTTGGCTTAGCCCTTCATCTTGTGGTTGTTGAAGCAGTTCCGGCTCTAACTAAGATAGTTCAAGAATCATGTTCATCATCCGAGTCAGATAGTGAATACGATGAAACAGAGTGTACCTTACATAAGACTAAGAAGCACACACTTACTCCATCCCATGCTCGTGACGTGGACAAAAAAATAAGAGGTATGGTTAGTATTATGTATGAAACTTATTGATGGATGAAACTATAAGTGAATCGTTACTAAAGTGTTCAGTTTCAATAACAGGTTATGGTTAGGAGCATTATCCCACAAAATCCAGAACGTTCAGTTGAAGAGTCATTACTGGTGTGGTCAGATGAAGTTGTTGATGCTAAAGTAGAGAAGATGTTAAAGCTCATATATGCTAATCACGTCTTCACCAAGAGTATGTTCAAAGACGGTGCGACGAAGTTAGATGTAGAGAGGATGCGTGAGCGATTAAAATGTGTGAGTAAAAGAAGGAAAATAAAGAAAAAGTGGTTGCGCATCCCGATTCTGGGGTCATTGATGAATCTAAAATTTCAGGAGTTGTCCTTTCTATTATGAAACCTGAACTTGCGAGGATTGAGGGAAATGTTGCAAACGTCATTGCTGCAATGCCAGAGGTTTTCGGTTCTGCTATGGCTTATCAATCATCTGTACTTGGTTCTGTGGATGCAATGCTCAAGTCCATTAAGGAGGAACTAATTGAATCTTTAAGGGAAGGAAATATTGCGGGTGTCGTGCATCCACACCAAACCTGTGCACAAAGAGAAGCAAGAAGCAATGCTCACAATGTGGAGGATACAAGAAAAGGCATCGAAGCTGTTAATGATGCCATCATTCATAATGTTCTTGGAAATCTAAGCCATTACTCCACCCCACCCGCTGCCCAAACACAATGTCCTGTAAGTTTTGATGCTGTCGTGAAAGGTTAATATTTTATGTTACTCATTACGTATCTGGTTTAGTATATAAGCTTACTTTAAATGCATAATGGTTAGGGTTATGAAGTAGTAATTCGTAAGACTGTGTGGTAGTTATGTTATTGATAAAATCACTGACCCCATACTGCTAAGTTTTTAGTTTTTTTTTTTTTTTTTATAATTTTTGCCTTTAGCGTACTAACTATTTTACATCCTATTTTTGTTATATGAGGGGTCTGACGGGCATTCCAATCGCCATCAGGGTCATGTCCCTTCGTTTGATTTTCGAGATGGTCACCATCCCCAACTATCGACAGTGTCAGGCCATAGTCAAACGAAAGTTCCGGGTGAAAGAAATGTAAGTTCATGACTCATACATTATGTATTTCCAGTTTTTGTTCTTAATTTTTCATAAGACCAACTCGTTTAGGGTGATGAATTAATGGTACCTTATCCCAGGTCTCACAAGGGATATCTCAGCGTGAAAACATTCAAGTCCCTTCACATGTTATTGTAGCCGGCGCCACCTCCCAACCTGTAAATGGGTCTGTGAACAGTCAAAACTCAAACAGGCCACATCACATGTAAATACAAGTCACATATATATTCCACAGTATTTGTAATTTATATAATATTCTAATATCTACAATTTTGGTTCCAGGCTGCTGATCCGAGCCCCATAATTCCATCATTTTCTTTGGGTTTGACCCAGGAGAAGGAAAATGTAATACCTGCTAGAGATGTGGATATGTGTGAAAACGAAAATATACTGGATGAGGAGCATATCAAGGGAATCAACTTTGCCATAAGGGCAAGCGTTTAAGGCTTGTTCCACCGAGCTTGGTTACTGATTATCAGTGTGGACCGGCCATGAAAAACTGTGCACGTGAAGCCAAATTGTATGCATGTAATTCATATGAAGCAAGTGTTATTGCCGAAAAGTACACTAAGCGTAGCTGTCTACTAAATAAACCCTGGTAGTATATCTATGTTGATCTTTTTCGTCAGAAATTTTTTTTTCACGAGTTCTTACTATTTTTTCCTACCTCACCTTGTTGGGAATTTGTTTTTTTTTTTACTACAAAAGTGCTATCAACGTTTCTGGTCTGGCTGTTATTGGAAAGGATATAACCGACATTCCAGAAAAGAACCATCCTCTCCCCGGAAAGGTATGGTCCTTATTTTATTTTAAATATGAGTTGGGATTTGTATTCATATAATCATTTTCTCATTCTTTCATATATGTTATTGACGTCCTTGTAAAATTGATAAGATCAACCTTCAAAACCCAAGGTGGTGGTGATATGGATGCTAAGCCTGCATTTCTGGATAGTCGGTTTGTCTCTTTGTTTGCTAGAAAATATCCTAAGTTCTAGAAGGCCAAGTTGAAAGAAGACTACGTTTTTCTTACGGGCAAGGTTGAGACGTTGAAAATGAGTTTCAGTGGCGGTATTGCTCCTACGTGTTTCTATATGCCATTTAACATTGAAAAAAAAATTGGGTTGGATTATATAACGACTGCAATGAATCAAGGCTTTTATGTCCTTGACTGAAACTCAGGTATCCATTCTGAATCAGCACTGGCTAGAGATATTCTTCCAATTTCTTCGATGTTCCCATATCTACTAAAGTATGCCGGTCTGAATAATGGTGGGGATGTAAATACTCTGGTTGTGGAAAGAATGAAAGGTGTTGCAACAAATTCAAATGCACAGATTCCTGACTGACATCAGCTTTGTTAATCCAAAATCATGCCTTGTTTGGTCAAGATTCTTGCAGCGCTATTATACATGAATTCCATTTGAAACTGTGAAGATGCTACATGTCATCAATTCTTCACTACTTTCCTTATGTTTAATATCTCAAGCACATCTCAAGTACAATTTTATATTTCCTCCTACGTTGTTGTTTACCTTTTAAGACTTTTTTGTTTCCTGAAAACTTAACTATTCTATATTCCAATGTTTTTAATATGCAACAACACTGGGTTTTGCTTATTATTGAGGATATTTAGAAGTTTTCATTTTCATGTCATCAATTCTTCACTACACTTTGGTTTTCATGTTATGAGAACTACAAATCCAAAAGAAACTTTCAATAGAATGATGCATCATATTTCTGATGGTATACTTTATCAAATTAATAAATGTATTATGCCAAATTTTAGCCTGTTTTTTTTCAAGTATTTTCTTAATATCCCTCCACATTGAAAGAAACCCAGTTAACATGTCATACATAATGGTTATCATTGGCAATCCGATCTTATATTTTCCTAATTTAGGAACGACCATGTCATATTTTTGAAAAAGTATTTTCCTGTGGTTTCTATTGCTTCGCTTTGAGTTGTAATTAAGTGTCTCACCGTACAAAATTGTTATAATCATATGCACATTACCAAATATTTTAAATTACATGCACTCTCCAGTACATAAGTCATATATTACACTGCATGCATACTTCATTTCTTAAGTAATATTACACATCACACAGTAAACTTCAAAGCATGACAACCTTCCCAAACGGATTCACCTTCTTACTTAGTAGATTCGTTATAAAAAGCTTAAGGTTCATTATACATGTCATACCCCATGGCCGATTACCAAAAAATTCATTCCACATTAGTCCCTCGTTCAGCAACCTCCCGCCCTCTCTTCGTTATGGCTTTCAACTTTAACAGATGGAAGCTCATCAGGCAGTTACGTAGACTAAACCTATTTTTTGGAACACCTGTTTCAGCATTTAACAAGCTAACTCCCCCTCCAGCTACCCCACTTGGTTTTACCTCTCTAGATGAGATGAGGCTGTTGACGACTCATCGTTAAGATATACAAGTGGATGCATGTTCGGATTGTCGTGACTTGTAATATTGCGATCGTTTGGTGGGTAGCCGACATGCTCAGATCCTGGAACACCATAGATTCTCTGTAGCTCGAGTACGTAACCTGAAGCCATTTAATTTGCCCAGTATTTTGTTCGTTATCTTCTCCAGGCCAAGTCGCTGGCTGGTAATGAACTTGCAAATTTGGGACAAATCCCCCTCTCCATCCAACATAGTCAAAGGCAGGGTGGATGTTCACCATGGCTTCCCAAGTGGGAAAAATGGATGGATATACACATTTTGGTATTTTATATTCGTAGGAAACCAAATTATTCGAGCAATGTTAATGCTAGAGGTTTTACCATAATTTGCATTGTAATTAAGTTCAAAGCCGGATATATTTAATGGTCAATGGAAATAGTGCAACAAAACCTGGTTTGTGCCTGCTCCTCATAGCATATGTCTCTTGTATCGGATTTGTATGTCCAAGTGTGTGCTATGTATAGTTAAGGTGATTAATTATGGAGATAACATGGTCGGTATCACCATCAGGAGGGACAACATTAAGGTCAACAGAGTTGGTTGCTTTCTAAACTTCGAAGGAAAAGCGATAATAAGTACCAACTTCTCCTCATTGTAAATATCGGTGAGAACATCCTCGCTAAATCGCAACTCCTTACCTCTAACCAAATCTGGCATAAACGTGGATCCAACATATAACTAGATCAACAACATTATACCTTGAAAAGTTTTAGCAACTAATTTATATACTGGTTTGTACCTTGAATCGCAAACAGGTGCTCTTCCTTTGTTATACCGTCTCCAAGAAAAGTTATTGCCCCAATAGTGAATGGTTCTCTACATATGAATTGATACCTAGAGACATCCTGTGCTCCGAATATTATACACAGTCTTGGCTGTGTATTGAAGTCTTGGACACTCATCACCATTTCTACATCACTATTGGTTACAATTTTGTGAGGTGGACAAGTGTCACTGTCTGGCTCTAGCATACAACCACGTAGTTGAAACATGACGAGGAGGGGTCTTTGTGGGGTAATGTTAAATACACTTCTTACCATACCCTTGAGATCTTCGATGGGTTCATTGTCCTGGACTACAATATCATGCGACAAAACTGTTAGATCATGTGCAAAGGTCTAGAGACCTTGTTGTGATTTTGACCATTGTCCTTTGAGCAGACGGACGACGCGATCCATCTATAACATTTAAGAGCCGAATAAGATTAAAAATTCTTCACATGACTTTGTAAATACAAAAGCTTTCTGGAATTAAAATCAAGAAACTTGTTAAAGAATTGTATATATACACAATGAAAAATTCGCACATAAATTGCTAGTTTCTAGGTCAACATGCTTGAAGTATGGAAGCACGTTTCTCTTAAGATGTAGTATGCAGGCGCAATGCCTTCCACGTGGATAAACCTGCATAAGAATATTGTTGTTCCAAGTAAACATGTTTATGACAAAAAAAAATTTGTTTAGCCACTATTAAAAATAATTTATCACGTTTCATTTATACATGGGTGTTTATTTATGGATTATCAACACCGATTATTTATTTGATTATTTGATACCCACTTACATAATATGACTGTGTAATTATGTTTTTCTGAGATATCAAGTACACATATATAATGGAAGCTTGTTGCTCTAGCCCTTTCCATTATAATTTCTGTATGTTCGTGCTAGTACGGTGGGAGCCTATTGTTCATGATGAGTACCCATGGATTATTCCTTTTTGGGTGACTATCACTGGAGTGCCTTTGCACTTGTGGACAATAAAGAATTTGCGTGGACTTGGGGAGTCTCTAGGCCGTGTTGATACGCTGGAGCTTGAGGAAGGAAGGATGCTAATTGATATCGATACGCGCAAGCCTTTGAAGTTCACCAGAATGGCTACAAATGAAGCAGGAGATGCAGTCACAATTAAGATCGCCTATGATCTTCTATTTAAACATTGTACTACTTGTGGTTTTTTGACCCATGAGAAGGACCATTGTCCTTTAAAACCAAAGAGTAACAATGTTCTTGAACGTGTTGTGGTGCCAAAACAGCAGGATAACAAGCCGGCAATGCGCAGAGGTATAAGTAAGAGGCTTACTTTCCAGGATGATATCAACTCTGGTAGCTCTAAGGAGAATATGCAGTACCAGAAGTTCGGGTACAGGAACAACACAGGTTATCAACCTACTCGACACTTTGGTGAGGATAACTCAAGAGGTCCTGCTGTGCATTCTAAAACATATCAGGACAACGATGTTGGCTTTGCTCACCGTCATGGCGCAGAAACCAACCGTGTTGACAGGGTAATGCGACGACGTCATGAGACACGAGGTAACAGCCAGGTCAAGTCCCCCTATGCTCGCCAGCGTGATTCCAACTTTCAGGAAAAGTCTTATGCTTCTTCCTCTCGAGATGTTGCGCGGAACATGGCAAGGGTAGAATAATCAGTTTCTGTGAGAAGTGAGAATAACCGGGAAGGAAAGGCACTACCTTGGAGAGAAACAGCACAAAATAATGGGACTGAGAAGCTGGAGTGGCGTGAAAAGGAAAGAACCAGAAGCAGTGCAGCTCATACTCGGAGAACCGTCGAGGATTTTCACGTAGCTTCTCCTGATCATCACGGTGATAGGAGGCCTGACTTTCATGGGAAGATGGCCTCTGATATGTTTAGAGCTTCTCGCTCCACTCGTGCATCTCATGTGGATGCTCAACGGAGTAACAGCGGCGGAAGTCGTTCCCGAGATAAGCTTGCTGGTGCTGTTATCGGTTCAGGCGTCACACAGCGAAGGAAGGAAGATGAAGTGCAGATCTTGAATACTGGCGGAGCAGATAAATTTAGTGCAGATTTGGAGAGAAGGTCATGCTCAGGGTCTTATGGGGTGAGTGAGCCGGCTAATGACGACGTGCTTCAAGGTTATGAGCGAGGAGCGTCTTCTGATAAGTCAGAGGTCCATGGGATTCCACAAAAACAAAGGCTAGCTAGTAAAATTACCTCTCCAGCAATGAAGGACAACGTGACAATTCGTCCAAAAAGTATTGTGCGTTCTTTGACGTACAACACTGAAACTGCTGTGCCTGAGGATGAAGATGCACGGGTTATTGAGGCTTTATCGCTGGAGGAAGAGGGAGAAATAGAGGAGGAGGACGATCTGTTTGATGAAGAACTAATGGATTTGGAGGAACCTCCAAAAAATCACCCTGGGAGGTAGGAGCGGGAATAGGAGGACTCCTAGGAAGAAGGAGGTTCTCCGTCGGGGATCTCCACGGCTGCGAGTACTAAATTCTACTTCTCAAAAGCACACTGGCGAGAGGTCTAAACAAAGACATGGGAGTTATAAGGTGCGGGAACAACGATCTAAGACACACAAAGGAAGTGGTTCGGTGGGGTCCAAAAACCCATCCCACCCTCATCCATGAGGACACTCAGTTGGAACTGTCGAGGGATTGGAACTGACCTCACAGTTCGACGCCTTACGGAGATGTGTCAGAAGCATCGCCCAGGACTAGTGTTCCTTTCTGAAACAAAGAATAGGAGGCTGCTGTTGCAAGACATTCAGGCCGACTTAGGATTTGATCGTTTGTTTACCGTTGAGCCACTTGGTCTCAGCGGTGGTTTAGCTCTTTTATTTATGGATGATTTTCAAGTTAAGATTTTATTTTCGAATAACAGAATGATTGACATTGAGGCAGTCATTGATGGAATAAAATTCTATATGACATTTGTTTATGGGGATCCTGTAGTAGAACGAAGAGAATTAGTTTGGGAACGTCTTACGCGTTTCTCAACAACAAGGGACGGACCATGGTTTATGATTGGGGATTTTAACGAAATAACTTGTCATGAAGAGAAGGAAGGGGGGAGACAACGAACATATAGCTCTTTCTTGCCGTTCAAACAGATGCTGAGTGATTGTGGCATGTTAGACTTTCCCTTCACATGGAATATGCTTTCATGGGTAGGAAGAAGAGCAGGAAACGCTACTGTTAGATGTCGACTTGATAGAGCTGTGGGCAATGAGAACTGGCATGAGAAATTTCCTCATTCTAAAGTTCAGTATATGAGGCTTTGGCGTTCGGATCATCGTCCACTCCTGGCTCACATTCTTAAAAAGAAGCCACGAAGATCGAAAAATTTTAAATTTGATAAACGTTGGCTTCAGAATGAGGAGCTCAGACAGATTATACTGGAAGGATGGAAATCACCTGATTTACCACTAGGAGCAAGTATTATGGAGCACATTACAAGTTGCAGGCGGGCGTTATGTGATTGGAAACGACAACATAATCTGAATTCAGAGAAGAGTATAGAAGAGCTAAAGGAAAAGGTTGATCGATTATCTTCCAACGATGATGCCACTACTGAGGAGATAGCGGCAGCTCTAAAAGAATTGTCTGATGCCCTTAAGGCGGAGGAACTATTCTGGAAGCAAAAGTGTAGATTTTTCTGGCTAAGGGAGGGAGATCGAAACACCAAATTTTTTCATGCCTTAACGAAACAGCGTAGAGCGCGGAACATGATCACCCAACTTCTTGATGCAGATGGGAATGTGGTGGAGGATGAGGAAGGCTTGGTAGCCATTGCTACTAGTTATTTCCGGAAAATATTTCAATCGTCGAACTCTGAGGAGATTGAGGAGGCACTTTCTGAAGTAACCACTACAATTACACCTGCAGATAATGAGGGACTTACAGCTCCAGTTTCGGAGTGGGAGGTGAAATTAGCTCTTTTTGCTATGCATCCTGAGAAAGCTCCTGGACCTGATGGAATGACAGCTCTGTTTTATCAAAATTTTTGGGATATCGTCAAGGAAGATTTAACTCGTATGGTTAATGAGTTTTTATTCCAAGGAACTATTCCGACGGGACTCAACGGATACTAATATTTGTCTTATCCCAAAAGTTGACAAGCCAAACCAGATGAGTCAACTACGACCCATCAGTCTCTGTAATGTCTGTCACAAGATTATCTCCAAGGTATTATGCCAAAGACTGAAGAAGGTTCTTCCAGATAGGATCTCTGAAAGCCAGTCAGCCTTTGTTGCTGGGAGACAGATATCGGATAACATAATGATTGCACAAGAATTGTTTCATGCCTTGAGAACAAAGCCGAGTGGTCGCAATAAGAGGATGGCTATTAAAACAAATATGAGCAAGGCATATGACCGTATGGAATGGTCTTTCATTGAAGCCACCATGAGGAAGATGGGGTTTTCAGAAGTATGGATTACTTGGATTATGCGATGCATAACAACAGTTAAGTATAAAGTACTTATGAATGGACAGCCACGAGGAAATATAGTCCCGGAGAGAGGTCTACGTCAGGGAGATCCTTTATCCCCTTTCATTTTTATTCTATGCACGGAAGCGCTCGTTAGCCTTCTTAATCACGCAGAGAGTCAGGGAAAGATAACGGGGATGCGCATTACACGTGCGTGTCCTTCGATATCCCACTTGCTCTTTGCTGATGATAGCCTGTTCTTTTGTAAGGCGGAGCCCCGTGAATGTGAAGAAGTAATGAAGGTGGTTAGGAAATATGGACATGCATCTGGACAATGCATCAATTTTGACAAATCTTCTCTACTCTTTGGTAAGAGGATCGGTCAGGTGGCTAGGCAAGAGATCAAAGATACGCTTGGGATACAAAATGATGCAGGAATGGGAACCTATCTGGGGATACCAGAGGATATCAGTGGCTCGAAATGCAAGCTGTTTGCCTTCTTAAAGGACAAGCTTCGACACCGAGTGAATGGGTGGACGGGTAGATGGTTGTCTAAAGGTGGAAAAGAGGTTATGATCAAGTCAATCTTGTTAGCTCTCCCAACATATGTGATGTCTTGCTTTTTGCTCCCTTTGGAGATATGTGACGCTTTGGCTAGTGCCATTGCACAGTTTTGGTGGAGTTCAAACCCACCAAAGAGAGGCTTACACTGGACTACATGGGACAAGTTATGTCTACCTAAAGACGAGGACGGAATCGGATTCAGAATGATACATGAGTTTAACCTGACATTGCTGGCAAAGCAGCTGTGGAGATTGGCCCAAAACCCGGATTCATTGGTTGCTCGTGTTATGAGAGGGCGATATTATAGATCAAGCATGCCTTTGCGAAAGCTTACTGTCTGCAGCCCATCGTATGTGTGGACAAGTATCTCGGCTGCACGTGAATTATTGTTACTAGGGGTTAGACAAAAGATTCATTCAGGGTATGAAGTGAAGGCATGGGAGGATCCATGGATTCCAACAATCCCAGCGAGACCAGCACATGCAACAGCCCCGGTTATGCATCCAAATATGCGAGTGAGTGATCTTATCAATCAGGAGACAAAGTCTTGGGACTTGGACAAGCTGACAAGATATGTCGACGTGGATGATATACCTCTCATACGGAGTATAGCTATCAGTTCGACCTATCACAGAGATACACACTGCTGGAGTTACACTAGGAATGGACAATATACAGTCAAGTCTGGCTATTGGGTAGCTCGTAATATACTTATGAAAGAGGATGAGATCTTAGTAGACGAACCAAGCTTTAAAAGGCTCCAAGCACAAGTTTTGAAGGTTAAAGCGCCCCCAAAGATGTGTCATCTTATGTGGCAGATTATATCGGGGCAGGTGGCTGTTACGAGTGCGCTGAATCGCAGACACATAAGGTGCGATAATGTCTGTCCATGATGCGGAGAACTGGATGAAACAATTACACACGCAATATTCCAATGTCCACCAGCTTTACAAGTATGGGCCCTGTCATCAATTCCAACCAGTGTTACTTTATTCATTTTGGAGAGCACTTATTCGAATATGGATTATCTGTTCTGGCGGAAGAAGAGTATTTGTGGACCAGAACTAGACAGAGATCCTTTTCCTTGGTTGATATGGTACATTTGGAAGGCTCGGAATGATAAGCTATATAGAGGTATTGATAGGGAGTCTCTGGAATTGGCCCGGTATGCAGAGAGCGAGTGTCTTGCCTGGTTCCAGGCTAATGAGCATGATATTATGATTACACAAGAGGACGGAGACATTGAGCGGCAGGTCATAAGCCTACGCAACATTTGCATAATAGATGGTTCTTGGACCTCTACGGATCAATTTTCGGGTTGTGGATGGGAGTGGAAGGATAGCTTGGGAAATAGTTATCTGATGGGGATGCGTAATGTGAGCAGAGTGGAGTCGGCTTTGCATTCTGAGCTGGAGGCGCTACGGTGGGCAATGGAGAACATGCTTCAACATTCGACATGTCAGAGCTTTGGGACGGATTGTAAAGATTTGGTAGCAATGCTCAAAGACCCTCACGGATGGCCAAGCTTTTCGACGGAACTGGAGAGGATCTCGACATTACGGATTTGTTTCCCAGATTTTCAGATTTCTTATGTACCTCGAGCTCTAAATACTGTGCCAGATCATTTAGCTAAGACTGCCCGATCCTTTTATCGGGATCTTATGTATGTTGGTTGTTCTATTCCGGTCTGGCTCCCCAGACCACCTCAAGCTTGAGTAATAGATCAGCCTTTCGTTGTCAAAAAAAAAAAAATATAATGGAAGCTTGTTCAACTTAATTATTTGTCGTTTTTAACCTCCTCACTGTTATTATATTTACTTTATGGATTTTTAACATAAAAACCCTTCAATTAAGTTTGTTTTGGGTAAAAACCCATAAACTAAGTATTTAATGAAAAAACCCCCAAACTAACTTTACTTAGTGAATTAAACCCCCGCCGGTCATAATTACCTGTACTACCTGTAGATCTTCAGTTTATAGGTTTTATCACTAAACATAAAAATCAATAAAATTCAAAATATAATTACATTATCTAAAAATTTGTAATTTTAATTTTCAAAACTTGCATCTAAAAAAAAAATTATGTAACTATATGAGTCTGATTTGTTATCCTTTTAAAATCAAAATTATATATGTATAAATTTAAAATGTAAAACCAAAAAAAAATATAACAAAAAAATTATCGAAAGATTTACCTGTAATAAAAATTATCAAAAGTTATAAATATAAAAACAAGAAAACAGAATAAAAATTATATTTTATTTAATAAAAAATGTAATAATAAATCTTTAGATGATTTTTATTATATTTTGGTGTTTTAAAATGTTGATGTTAAAACAAATCAAACTCATATATTTACAGAAAGTTTGAAAAATGCTAATTTTAAAAATTTAAGTTACTAATTTTTAGATAATGTTATAAATTTTTTTTAGATTTTTAACGATAAAAACCCTTTAGTTACTATATGGCTATCTAAATTATTTTAAAAAGACAGTTACTATGTTATATAGTGAATTTTGCAACTTTGCTACCCTGTCATAATGTAAGACATTTATTAGAATTAGTTATGCAATTCTACAAACTGATCAAATATTTTATAACCAATATAACAGAACGATTAGTGTTCCACATAAGAGAACGACGACGCTTAGGAGGCAATGCCAGATTCAACTAAATAGTCTATAATAATAATATCTAAAGAGAAAAAAAACAACGACATACTTGGCAGACAAGTTTGCCACTTCAGCAAATATCCAAAGTGGGAAAGCATCTTATTTTTTTATAGAATGATTAAGAATGTAAAAACAATTTTAAACATTAGTTAAATTTACAAACTATAAACTGTTGGGATAAACAAGTAAACCCGAATTTTTAATATGTACAATTGGTCAATTCCCCATTGTCAAAACGAAATAGAACAAAAATTCGTTATCTGGAATTGATAAATAAACAGCACAATTATGTCTATCCTCAAACTAAAACATTGTATAATTATTGATATTTTTTGGGTCAACATTATGCATAGTTATCCAGCGGAAAGCGACGCAGATATTTAATTTATTTTTTGAATGAAAATGATTTAAAGGAAGAGTAAGAAATAAAAATATCCATTCATTTCACTCATCGATCATATCCCCTACCAACATGTCGGGGAACCATCCTTAACCGGCACGTGGCTGTCACTTATCCAACAACGATCCCACGAATCGTCGTCATGACCCCGGTTTTACCGTTTCGGCCGGTTGTTTCTCCCAAATCTTACGGCTCTCACTCACTTTTCCTTCTATATAAGGCGATGATCTCTCAATTAGACAGAGAACTCTTCTCTTCAGAATCTGAAAAGCCATAATAGCTAGAGAGCAGTGTATCTGTTGCAGATGAACAGAGTGATTAGTCAGTTTTCCTGTAAGTTGATGAACGACAAGTGTGTCAGAGGCGGCGATACGACGACTCTCCGATCTGCCGTCAAAGAATCGGCCTCAGTTAGTTCTACTTCGTCGCATAGTTCAGTCGCATCACCGTCGTCGTCTTCTGGGCGGAGAATCAGAGGCGATCTGGAATCGAGCCGATTTGGTGCGGCGGCGAGCGAGAAGCTGAGGCAGGCGGAGGAGTCTTTAAGGACGGTTATGTTTCTGAGCTGTTGGGGATCTTGTTAGATATGTTGGAGTTGAAGATATATAAATCAAAGCATTTCCATATGTAAATATTTTTTTTTCCTCTTTGTAGTCTTTTTGAATTTCTGTCAATCTAATTACAAAACGGAAAGTTGTGATGAACAAAAATGGTTAACCAGTTTTTTTTTTTCACAAAATTTCATGAAATACAGTAAGTTGGATCTATAGGTTCTTCTCCATATTTTTGCATATGGATTTTGATTATTTGAACTACACAGATTAGAAAACTATTGATAATTTAAGAGTTCCAATAAATTTTTGAATCCGTTTATGTTTAGTAACTGCAATATTTTTTTCAACTATGAAATATTAATGGATTGATTTGATCAAAATATTTATAAGATAATATTCATAAGAGATGTCAAAATTAAGATTGTAGCCATAATAAAGAATAGATGTCACAATTAGTAATAAAATTTGATCTTTTATCTTTTCACTAGGTGTTTACCCGAGCCTTGCGCGGGGTGAGATGATTTTAACTTTGATCGAACAATAATTTGATATATTAATTTGTTTAACTAAAAATAGGTAATGGATGTGAATCAGTAATAAAAATCATATAATCATATAATGAGAAATTAGTATAGCTGCGAAACAAAGCAATGATTCATAGAATATAGTTTTCACTGTTTGTCTTATATATTTGTTTGTCTTATAGATATATGATGATACAAAAAAGTAAAGAAATCGTCTACTAAAAAACAGTAGAAAATAAATAAAAATAATTAATAGGATAATTAAACATAGAAAAATAAAACATGATATAATAAGAAAAAAATTATATTAAAATAAAATAATAAATAGAAAATTAAACATGATATAATAATTGAAATTGTCTTCAAAACTCTTCGTTTGCAATCCTACAGACAAAAAATAACAATTAATTAGTTTTAAGCAAGTTCAAATTTATGGGTATCTCATTGCGCTTGTCTATAAAGCAAGTTCAAATTTATGGGTATCTCATTTAATTCAGAATATTATATATAGGTGATTGACATTCAATCGGAAATAAACCATTAAACCGTTCACCTAATGAAAAAATTCTGAGATTTACTTACTAAAAATATGTGACTGAACTTACTTAATATTAACTTTGTGTGTAAAAGTGGGTCGTCTGGTTTAATATTCGACGATTTATGAAATATATTCATTCAATATTCAAATACAATAACAACAAATGGTTCGTGCTGATAAGGGAAACTGATATTATGCATGAATATAAGGAAACTGAAATATGCATGCAGATTCGGCTATTAATTTTGATTGAACATAATTGTAGCCACAACTAATACTACAAATGCATATAAGAAAACTGAAAATCCCTTAATTTTCTGATGAGACACGAATATCCCCTTCTTGAATAAAATATATCATAGAAAAACATATAACAAAATCGTTCTATAGGAATGTTGAATAAAAAATTAAAAAATAAAATATAAAATATAAAATTTTTAAATATATGCCCAGAGACAATAAAAATAAGGTGATAGCATTTGCGATTTTTATTTATACTTATGTAATGAAATATATTTTGAATAAATCGTACAAAAACATGTAACAAAATCATTCTATATGTATGTTTTATATTACATATTACATTTACAATATTTACAATATATATATACATAAAATATATCGTACAAAAAAATGTAACAAAATCGTTCTATAGGAAAATTTAAAATATAAAATATAAAATTTAAATATATGCCCAGTAGACAATAAAATGAAATCGTACAAAAAATGTAACACAAGCCTTCTATATGCATATTTTATTAATAGTAGTTCACTATATGCGAGTAGTAAATGTGTCATTGCCTATTGCTATATCAATTGTTATATCATATATGTATGTTGTGTAATTACTCTAGTTAACTAAGGTCTTTTAGCTTAAAGGGGTGAGAAGGCTTGTGGAGTTGCCACGTAAGAAATGTCATGGTTGTAATAAACACATGAAGTAAAGGTTTCTTTTCAAAAGTTCTCCTCAAATAATCAGAAGGGGATTTGTGGGTATGTGAAGATGAGGAAAGTGGTCTATTTACGACATAATAATTAATTTGATCCAATAACGTAACTAGAAAGGCATAGTACAATTGGAAAAAGTAAAAAGATTGTCATCATAGTGTTGTGAAGAATAATGAAATCTGTGTCTTATTCATGCTTTAGAGGTTCCATATATATATGGGATACAAGAATAAGATAAATGGAAAACATCCAATTCCTAAAGTAACAAGGAATTGGAAATACATAGAAAAGGAAAAGGAGCTGGCCGCCTAAAGCTAATGGGTCTCTCGACCATTGGGCCAGTCTAATCTATCTAATGGTTATGGCCCATCCACTAAATACTTCATAACACTCCCCCTTGGATGCCATAACCGTATGGGCTTGTACCATGCTTAATGTTGCCTCGTTAAAACCTTATCTAGGAAAACCAAAAACCCAAGGTGAGAAAAATGGAAACCTCAGACAAGGAAAAAGAGTACAACACATGATACTCCCCCTGATGAATGCATCACTGAAAATGGCTCAGTGAACGCATCCCAATCTGGTACACGAATTTCTTGAACGTCTTGGTTGGTAAGGACTTGGTGAACATGTCGGCCAAGTTGTTGCTGGACTGGACTCGGACCACCCGGACTTCTTTGGCCTTCTGCAGGTCGTGGGTGAAAAAGAACTTGGGCAAGACATGCTTCGTTCTGTCTCCTTTGATGTAACCTTCCTTGAGCTGATGTATGCAGGCTGCATTGTCTTCATATATCACTGTTGGCTCGTCCTTCCCAATGCTCAAACCACTTCCCATTCGGATATGGTTGGTCATGTTCCTCAACCACACAAGTTCTGTACTAGCCTCGTACATGGCTATGATCTCAGCATGATTAGAAGATGTGGCCACGAGTGTCTGCTTCTTGTAACGCCAACAGACTGCTGCACCACCGTACATGTAAATGTAGCCGGTCTGAGATCTAGCCTGGTGCGGGTCAGACAAGTACCCGGCATCCGTGTACCCAACCAAACTCTCCTTTGGTCGATACGAATAGAATAAACCAAGACCCTTGGTTCCTTGCAAATATCTCAACAAGTGTTTCACACCATTCCAATGCCTTAAAGTCGGACAGGAGCTAAATCTAGCAAGTAGATTCACAGCAAAACAAATGTCTGGTCTAGTGTGGCTAGCCAGGTACATTACAGCTCCAATAGCACTGAGGTAAGGCACCTCCGGACCCAGTACGGCCTCGTCCTTCTCCCTTGGTCGGAATGGATCTTTCTCTGGGTCTAAGGACTGTACGACCATAGGGCTGGACAATGGATAGGCCTGGTCCATATTAAACTTCTTGAGTACCTTTTCTGTATAAGTTTTCTGATGCACAAGGATACCATCTTTTATGTACTCAAGCTGTAAACCCAAACAAAACTTGGTCTTACCAAGATCTTTCATCTCAAATTCTTTCTTTAAATACTCAACTGTTTGGGTAATCTCTCC